CAGATAATATCATGCGAAAGGTAGTAGGCTATATTTACTCCGTAAAGAAAGAAGAATGAAGCCACCACACGCTCTGCTGCCTTCCTCGCGTTCACAGACAGAGACGTTCCCAATCCCCTCCCCCCGAAGACATGCGGTTAGTATGTGGCCAAAAAAGGGAATGGAATCACATTTACCTTGAAGAAGAAAATGATGAAGCCACTGCATGTTCTGCTGCCTTCCGCATATTCACAGACAGAAATGTTTCATTCGATCGATTCGATTCGTCGGGGCGATACCCACCAGCCACATAAACTTGATCGTTATATTAGCTCTTGAAATCTTCAGACGCTTGACAAGTACATACCCTCTTCGTCATCCGATGGAGCTACCACACGCTCACGGACAGAGACGTTGCCCCCGTGTCTTCAATGTACTTACCAGATCCCTCAAAACAAAAAGAAAAATGCTAACAAGCAGACACGGAAAGCAGGTTCTTGGGGGGTTTTTGTTTTCACAAAATCAAACGGCAAAAGCCTCAGCAGATCAAAACAGAACAGGCAAAAGCAGACACAGAAAGCAGTTTTTTGGGGGGTTTTTTGTTTTCACAAAAGCAAACGGCAAAAGCCTCAGCAGAACAAAACAGAACGTGCAAAAGCAGACACAGAAAGCATCAAGAACAAGATGAGGGTAACAGGAAGAGGAAGACAAAGCAGCCGCGAAGGACTCTGAAGACACCGAATGCAGACCGTCAGCATGAAAAGAAGCACGTCCCATAGAGGAACAGGAATGCAAATGCAGCATAAGTTGCTGGTGCAAGGCATGGGAAGAAAGACCCCAGCAAAAGGAAGAGCCCACAAAGGTTGAAGAAGCCGGTGGTCGAGAAGGGGCCAACCTGGACGTGGGTCTGAACCGCACGTACATGAACCTTTGGGGGTAGATCGCAAGAGTAGGGAGCAACCATGGCCTTGGGTTCAGGCGCAAGAGATGATACTTCAGAGGGGGCATCGGGGTCTGGAAGCGCACGCATGGTGGAGGACATATCGGAGGCAAACCCACGTGGCTTGGGGGCAGCCTCAGGCAGAATCTCCATGAGCGAGCGCATGTTGAAGGTGTCATTCAGGTCCGGCAGGGCATCTTTCAGAGAGGACATGTTGAAGGCAGACTCATCGGAGTAAGGTGCGGACCGCGGAGAACGGGGCTCAGACGCATACACAGTGGCGAGATAACGGGCACGTGCAACGCTCGTCCATTGTGGATGGCTTTTGTACCGAGGCCCAGAGCTTTCAGGAAGCTTGGAAAGGAACCTCTGGTTGGTGCCCAGTGGATTCGAAGTGTACATGATGAACGATTTCGTCTCCGTGATCAGGCCTCTCTTGAGGATGGCCTTTTTGGTCTGATCTGGCCGAGCCGGAATTGTCCTAACCTGCTCAAGGGAGAGCTTATCGTCGGGGAAGTGTACTGTCTTCCGGACGTGAGGCTCTTTAGAGGGGGTAGAGTGCCGGTCTGGGTCCGACGCGGCGAGGCATGACTTCAGAGGAGGTGGGCGGTTTTTAGAAAGGAGGTGGAGGCGACAGCGAGAAGGACTAATCCTTTCGCCAAAGGAAAAGGAAGAAGAGGAAGGGTGCATTTTGAAAAGCCTTGAAAGCAATGAGAAATGGGTTTGGTAATCAATAGCAATTGCAAATGATAAATAGCCAGTGGCATGGGGAGAGAAGAAAGGAGAAATGGAAAAGGGAACTGGGAGGAGAGAAATAACGATTTGGATATTCCATGGCAACGGGCAAAGGCAACAGGAAGGTACGATGAGATGGTAAACAGAACATGAAGCTATACAGGAAGGCACAATAGGTGGATGGTGGCCATGGAAACCGGATATGCAGTTAGGGCTAGAAAACTACGAACTACCTGACCGGGGCAGGAGCGTCCATGATATAACTGCTGCAACTGTTTTATGCTACATGTGCGGACCTCGGAGCTGCCCCAGGATAATACACATGTATGGTCAACTCAGAGCTATCAAAAATGATCGGAGTTAGGGCTAAATTATGCATGGGGCAGATCCAACCTTCTCCCAATTGGAAACTATTGTCTTCGTCTCAAGGTTGCTTTGTCTCTGTTGTTTGCGCTGTGCTGACTAGAAGACAAAAGAGATATCGAAAAAGTAATCAATCAACCACGATATTTGATTAAATATCAATTATCAGGAATTAGATCAAAGACACTGGAAAAGACACACCAGCGAAGACGCCTAATGAAGACAAAAGATATCTAAGAGAATGCGAGGGTCTAGTTGGGTAGTCATGACGTGCCTGTTATACTTATGCCTACAAAATATAGCCCTTGCAAGGCATGAAAGCTTGGAATGGGCGGGCATCTCACACACGACGGATTAGATCTGATGCAAATGAATTCAAAGTAAAATCGCTCAACCTAGGAACCGCCAGCACTCCACCGGGTCATAATGATACATGCATTTTTTTCTCAATCTTCCAATGAGCACCAGTAGGGAAAAACTCATGAGAACAACGCTGATCGGGCGATGTGTTGGACTTCCTGCTCCTCGAACTACACTCAATTAGTCACATGATCATTAATTTAGTCGAATGGATTGCAAGAAAAGAAACGAAAGGAAAACGTACGTCCATGAAATCCGTCGCAGTAATCAGAGCCATGAATGTCTTGACTAGTTCACATAGTGTCTCGTGGTGGGCGGTTGATGTATTTCCAATCTTGGCAGATCGTTTGAAGATTCCCACCATGCATGGCCGGTTTTCAGCCAAGAATGTCCGGGTCTGCTCCTTAAGTTGTTCGTTGTGGATGCCTCGGGAGAAAACTGCATACACGATGACCTGGAGGACTGAAAGAAGAAGATCGTAATACCTCTGAAGCGCATCGGGATTATCAATATCTAAGGGACTTAGCAAGGTTCAATTGGGCCAGCGTGTAATTGACTAACCGATACCGATGTCTGGATCAGCAGCGAAAAGTCGTGATTCTTGCACGGCTTGGAAGAGACCAGAGTTAAGCACACAATTTGCTCCGCCCTTGGTTTGAGACAGCCGCTGAAGTAATGACAAAAGCGACTCATAGTATGCCAGTAATGCCGGGGTGTCTGGTTCTTGATTAGTTATAATAACGTGGCTGGTTCAAATGGGAAATGACTGACCGCTTCCCTGAGCATTTTGAAGTTCGAGCGGAAGAGACCGCAAGGCATCCAGGAATAGACTCAAATAGTTGGACCTGGAGACTAACTCGGCCAAAACACAATCAGTTTGGCGATCTAGAACAGCTAAACTGTTCAATAGCACAAGAGCGGATGCACGGCACGACTCTTGGCCAGTATAGGCGTCATCGCACATGGTCTCAATGAGGCTAGAGCCGGCCGCTTTGATGACATGTTGGCTAAGACGTCGTAGGTTTTCGTGGCCCTTGTTCGACGATGTTATGCGTATTATGTAGTGGGAACAAATGCAGTAAAGCGTCTCTCTCAACAACACATTTCCTGTTGCCAGGTTGGTACCTCGGATGCAGAGTTGAAAGAGCTGGTGGAGCTTTTCGTCAATGACATCCCCGCGTCGGGACGCGTCTGTTGCCGATGGCTCCGACGCAAGTCTACCGATCAACAATTCAGCCAATCGTGCCAGTTCAAGCGCCTCGGGTAGATCCGCCTCGATTGCCGTTGTGAGCTTAGGGAGAATCAACTGGATTGAATGTAGAATAAAAGCCGGCCTGCTTTCTTCATCGATGGCAGAGCAAGTGATCATCGTAGCAACAAGCTCTACCCAGGAACGAAGGGCGTGGTAGCGATTAGTTTGAATCAGGCTGTTCTGCTTTGTTGCAAGAATGAACAACTTCAGGTCATTGGCCTCGGCTAGCAACTGCTCCTCATCATGCGGGCGGAGCGGTCCATTGGCCATGAGTTCTGCTTTCCGCATCTGTATCATCTCCTCTACCCCCTCCATGCTGTACACGCTATCCTCCCGCTTGCTTTCTAATTGAAGAGCAACATCACTGAGCAAATAGAGCTGGGGAATGTTGAACTCGCGTCCAACATCAAGATCTGCGAAATCGAAAAGATCAAATATGGACGGACTGGATATTGGTTCACCGCTATCCGCTAGCGTGCTTCCGAGCAGCACCGAGAGAATTTGGGCATGTAGAGCCGGTGATCTAGCCTTTGCTGTCGAACGAACCTCGGTTGCAGCATATGTGAAGAGGTGACTTCGGTAAAGCAGGAATTCTGCCAGGGCAGTAGCAGCATCTGTGAGCCAAAATTCCTCTGAATCAATAGGGAATCCATTCCAGGCAGTGCTCGGGCCAATGATCGGTTGGTAGGCAAACATCTCGCGCAGGAAATCCTGAGCACGCATTTCACCAAGGGTGTAGTAGCTTGCCAGCTTCGATGACCACAAATGCTTCAGCACTTCAAAAGCCATCCGTTTGATATGTACTACCCAAGATATAATGCCGCCATCGAGGAATTCCGGATATGATTTCAAGAAATTCACGATGGCATGTAGCAAGGAACTTTGTTTCGCGAATAGCCCTTCTGATGAAACATCAAGAATGTTTCCCACGCAGTCGAAACCCAGCAGCAGATGGGCTACTGTTGGACGATCTGTGATTGTTCCTAGGCAGCTGTTCAATAGAGCGAGAAGGCTTTCCCGGATGACATAGCCGGCGGCGTTCGGGCCGAAATCAAGTTCTCTTACGTCAGGTTCCATTTGTAAGACAAGAGGCCGGGATATGCTGTCCACATCAACCTCGGATGCAAGCACCTCCACAATCTTGTTTGAGGATTGCCACTTGACGAGTTCCAGCGAAGTCAACTTGTTGAGCTTTCTGGAACTAGTAAGCTTTTCTAGTAAAGCCATAGAAATGACAGTGAGTTGTTCATGCGCCGTGCCACAATACAGACAGAGTGACGGGATGAGTGTTAAGTTGTTCAGTACGGTGTCCTCAAATGAAGCGAGCGAGGAATTTGCCACAATGGTCCGGGATGGTACGGGCTGGGAGTGTATCAAGGGCTTGACAATGTTAAAGTATGTCGATTGTAGGTCCACCAGCAAGTTCATAGCCTCCAGACTCCGGTGCAAGGTCAGAACCAAAACAGAGTCAGGCGACGCGGTAGCAACGTCCGAAACATCTTGTTTGGAGGCTGCAAACAGAGATTTGAGCACATCTTCGTTGAAAAGCCAGTCTACCACGCGGGCAAACGGGTGCGAGCGAACGTAGTTGAGCAGTGATGAAGTCTGCGTCGGAGAATCCGACACTGATGGCTGGCTAAGAAGTAACACTAGGTCTTCATTGAAGGATTTCAAGCTTGCCACAACGAAATCTAGGCAGTTGAAGGTCAACAAGCGGGATTGATACTCGTTAAGATCTTGAATCTTCCTTGAAAAGGCATGCCCCAAGATGAAATCAATGTAAGGTTCAATCCCAGACATGCGGTAAGTTCCACCTAAGGTCTCGGGGAAAGGCAGTGACAGTGGGTCATCAATTGAGTCAGATGAGGGAGTAGTAAGCGCGTTGATGAGAACAACAAAAGAATTTGTCTGGTCAAAGTTCTCTCCGATCTTTTGCAGGGCTTGTTGCTGGTGCCAAACGGCAGGGTTTGAAACCAAAGGCACTTTTCCAATGCCGGAGGCACCTGTTCCTCCTGATAACCACCCATCGAGACGAACCCACGTTTCTTTTCCAACGGTGGATAATTTGTCAGTCATCAATGCCGAGAGACTTGAAAACGTAGTTGCCCGAAGATGCGACGGAATCTGCCCACTGCACAGGTCTAACAGTGTACCAACTACATTGAACGATTCATTTTGCAGCATCCACTCTCGGATAGATCGACTCTGCTTGCACAGGTGGCCTATCAACCGAAGGTAGCATGTCAGCATTACTGGGCTCTCAGGCTCGTTCATTTCCACGGGCTCTGGTTTCCGTGGACGGAAGATCCCTGGCGGCCCTTGGGGGCTTGTTGTGGTGGAAGGCTTTTCAGTGACCCGAGATGCGTAAAGCTTCAGTTCAGCGAACATTTGCGACCAATTCATTGTTGTGGAACGCTTGAACTTGGAAGACATAAATTTGTCTTCCTCTGACAGGAATCGATGTGCCGCGGCTGCATTTTCTTCGCCTTCGGATATGGAGCACAGCATTTCGCAAAAAGCACTGACCCGAGGAACAGTCTGCCGTTTGGACGCCCACTGAAGGAAGCCATAAAGATTCCCATCGGGGTCAGCCCAAAATTCTTGAGCGGCTTCTTGTCGGTGCTCAAAAGCAAATGAGATGATCATAAGAAGGGACTCAAGGTGAGTTCGCACCTCTACCAAGCTACGATGGAGGTTAGAAGTGAGGCCATCTCTGAGTGCGGTGATCTGGTCTAGTCTTTGTGAGTCCTCTTCCGATTTCAGTCGTCGGACCGCGTCAGGCATATTTGCAACGCAAGATTCCACAAAAACTTCGAGGTTTTCCATCAAAAGCTCCTTCATAAATCCAGAGCATGGTTCTGGCTCAGGCAATGATACGACACTTTCCCTGAGCAGCAATGTCACTAATTCGCTCCGTGCGGGGTCCGCCCACTCTTCGGTGTTGACGCTGGAGCAGATCGCAAGCATAAAATCAAGGGCGCCATCATCAAGAGACGACATAAACATCTTCGTACGCTCTTCAGATTCCTTCTCCGCGTCGGCTGATGGGGATGAAAGACCATCATAGTACCATCCACTGTAGACTGAGAGCCACAGAGCAACAAGGGCGGCGTGGAAATTTGACAGCTTCCAGGCCTGATCATCTTTGGATGTAGTGATTAGTTTGTGCAGGTCTCGCGCCTCCTTCTCGGATCCAGAGCCCTCAGGAGAACCATGCTGTACAAAAGACACAATTGTGACTGGGATGTAGTGAAACAAGAGTCCGTCGAAGCGATCGATGTTTTTCAACTGACTCACAAGTATGCGAAAGTCTTCGCAGCTTGTGTATGTCCCTTTGAACATATAGAATAGGATCGCACCGAGTGACTCATGCTGCTGTTGCAGACTCGTGCGTTGGAATTCAATAGCCTCCATGATGTCGCGGTCATTTTCTTGCCCAACGACCGAGGCTTTCTGAACTTGATCTCCAAGGAGCAAAAGCCATTTCTGGATATCGGCCATGGAACTCAAGGCTTTTCGCGCGAAGAGGGAGGCATTCCGTAGAGGGCTGTCTTTGATTTCTAGAACGTGGGCCAGTGTTTCGTGCATGATAGGGTGGGTCATTTCATGTTCAGTGTCGCGCGATTCTCGGAAGATGAGACGTAGACACTCGAGGGTAAAAAGGCGACGCTCATGGAAGCTTATTATCGCAGCGATCAGCGGGGGCCTGTCCAGCGCTTGTGAATTGTCTTGGGCGGCCAGGAACATAACTGCTGCTTCCATTTCATCGATATCGAGCGCATCGGCAAGTTGCAGTGCGCCTTGTTGGAAATCCTGGTTCACCGAGTATTCAACGTCGGCCACGGTGATCTTCCCTGCGTTATCGCATTCAAAGTTAGTGGCTTGTGAAAACAAACGCAGGAAGAGTTTTTTAAGTGACCAAATTTCAAAGTAACCACTTACCCGAGAGAACAGCTTGACGGCTTGCATTGTTCTTCGCCGGCTTGTCTAGGAGTTTGCGGAAGTCTTGAATATGGATCTCCAATTCAAAACACAAGCGATCGACGTTTGGGAGTTGAGAGTTCGAAAGGGCAGAGAGATCCTGATACAGACCGCGGAGGCCATTCCGGGTGTCCTGGAGCTCTGCCATGACGGCGGGGTGAAGTTGGGAAGTGAAGCTCGAGCTCTCTGTTTGTTCCAGAGTCCAGGAAGGCGGAACGCGACAAAAATCGGGCGGTAAGACAGCTTTCCCAAGTACTGCCACTCCACTTTCCACTGCAATCACCTCGCCCTTATCGACTCAATTGTCAGTTCGCAGACTGCTGATTGATCCGAGATGTCTTTTTTAACCGGGTGCAAGAAGAGTTGTTGAGATTCGATGTTTCTAGGTCTTTTACACGTCGAAAAAAAGAATCGCAAGTAAGACCCCCAAAAGAGACGCGATGGGGGAAGTCTTTCTCGACAAGACGATTAGCCAGCTCTCGTCAGAGAAGCAGAAGGCCCGGTCGGATGGTTTGGCAGGTTTGATAATTTCCATACTATCTCATCGCAGAAGCATTGGTCCTAACTCACTTGGTAGACTTGAAGCACATCTTCCAGCAGAATAAGAAGAGTTCCAAGCTGTAGGCAGTCAACTACCCAAATTAACCTTGCAGGCTATCCAAGCTAACAAAGTTCCACCTACCTAGACAAACGCTCAATGACAAAGCTTGCCACAAGATCTTTGAATCACTATTCCGTTTCGTCGCAGCAGAGAGGTCGACATTCAATCGAGCTCAAAAGTCTACGAACAGCTCTTCTGCATCGCGGCTCTCGACATGTGCTTCCGTAATCCGAATGGCTGTTGACTTCTTTCTGAAAAACTTGAGAATCAAAACAGTGCGCGCCATCATTGACCACATTACTGAGACCATACCGGTCCCTGGGGAAGGGCTGTGGGAACCCCTGAGCCTGGACTATACCAAGTGTCTGGCATCGCTTTTACGTTACCGTCCTCACACTGAGCATCTTGACAAAGAAGACTGGGGAGTCCTCATAAGCTTTTGCCTTGCAGGTCTTAGCTACGGGGAGAACGAAGAAAGTCAATTGAGTATTCGAAGCGGTTATCGATCCGTTCTCGAAGATCTAGATGCCAGCGACAGCCATTCTACCCCCTTGAGAGTGACCGCCCCCATCCCAGTCAGCAGGGAAAGGCATAATGGCAATAGAAATGTCATTGAAGAAGTTGTAATCTGTATTCAGCTCTTGACAACAAGCCCAACCCCTCTTCAAGCTACAGCCCAAAGCATCCTTCACGGACTTTCCGATTTTGTTGAGTCATCTGTGGCTGGAAATGCACACCAGCTCGCGTTCAATAGCATCAATGCAGTCGTTACAAAAGTCATGTTTGATCAATCCGAGCTTGTCCGTTCCGTTCTCTTGGGCCTGATTCCAGTAATTCGACGCCTATGGGCCACTAAGTTACAGATTCTCAAGGAGGAGTTACTTGCCACTTTGATGCTTTCTATGATCGTTCTCGTGGACACTGCTCGAAAAGAGCCATCTGAATCTCTGGCATTTGATATCGAAGGACTGGCTAGTACACTTCATTCGGAATATGTGAGGCGATCAGAAAAAGAGATCTTACAAATCGACGAAACAATGCTCTACCAAAATGAAGCATGCCAGAACAGACCAGTGTATGGACCTTGCCTCGGAACTGCTAGATCGGAGCAAAACTGGACAGTCCTCTGGTTGATCGCAGAGCTTCTTAAGCTCTCGGACGGAATTCATAACCGAATCAAGTCTGGCTCAACACGCGAAGGCTCAAACAAAAGGCAGCGCTTCAGTTCTGAGATCCGGGACGTATTTAGAGACTCGGTCTCGGCCACAGGCATCAGGAGAATATGCGCATTACAACTCATCCCATTCCTCGAATCCGAGATTGACATTGAGACTAAGGAGCCCTTTTTCAAGCAGCTGGTTCTGAATGTCTCTGGCGGCAATGGCGCTGTGTCATCCTGGACAATGGTTGCTCTGACGAGGTACGTAAACGAATAGTTGCTGGAAAGAAAATTTGGAAAATGCACCCAGATGTACCTTACCAAAAGCACAAGAGGAAACGCCCTAACTTGAACCTAAAAACAGCATTGCAAATGGGGCTACTGCCAAATCGCCTGGATTCAGGGCCCACTGGCCACGAGTAGTCGAATTTACTACGCGTGCATTCTCATCTCCGGCGACATCGAGAGCTGCATGTAACCTACTGAGTATGGTTTTGCAGTTAGACTTATTGGATTACTCGGTAGCTGTGGAGACAACGCGGTCACTCTTGACTTCTGCCAGTAGACCATCTGCTATCTCAGACTCGTCTTTAAGGCTCTGGGCCTCAATTGCACGAATGATGACACAGTTTGACCCTGGGTCAACCCAGCAGACCTCTATACAGATATGTGGCTGGCTAAGAGAAGTTTGGGCTGGTACGACATACTAAAGGCTCCTTTTGTAATTCTGGATCTAACAGTTATTTTTGCAGGCTCGGTGACCGATCGAATCCAGACAGCTCGAGTCGCTGCTTTTGCCCGTCCGTTGGAATTGCTAGACCTTTTCTTTTCATGCACTAATCGATCCTTCGCTATTCCACGTTACCAGGTTACGGGGCCAACCGGGCTCATAGGCCGTACTTGGTTCTTTCAACTCGAGAACCGTGAACTGTTGGATTATTGTTTTCATACGAATTCTGCCACAATGAACCCCTGGGATCTACGGGAAACATGGTCCTTGAAGCAATTCTCTAGGCAAGACCCTGCTGATGTAGTGATCTTGGATTTGCTTCGAGTGAGATCTGAGTCGTTTTTACACGCATGGCACGCTATGAATGAAGAAAGATCACATATCACTCCTGATAACTTGCAGATTATGGCGTCCTTTTGTGTCGTGGTCTCCCTCTTCATGGCATGTCTTCCTCAATCAGTGGAATCTCAATCTCGATCACGAGATTTGAAACAGAACTACCAAAATCTTTGGAACGCTATATGCGAATTTCTGGCAGCTCATGCTCATGATTCTGCTTTCGTACAATCTTGCTTGGACTTGCTGTCGCCCCTGCTCGGTCCTTTAACGAGTTCAGACACCCCTCCTGCCATTATGACTAGCATTAAAGACCTTGTTGCTCCACTGTCCAAAACGCTTGAGCATTTCCGCCAGAGCTCAAAGATTCCATCTACAGATGATGATCCTATGGATTTGGACGACCGATTCATGGCCGAGGCCCCTTTAGCAACTGATGAAACTATTCTTGCCTTGAACCGGAATTCTCTGTCTGTCTTCCTTGATCCCGTCGCATACCAATGCTGTGTAACTATCCAACTTTCGATTTTTCTCAGAACCCAAGCAGACTGTGGCTTATCATCTGTCGTTGAATATTTGACAGGCTTGGATGAAGCCGATATTCTGGCAACCCAAGCTATTTTACCTGAGGTTTTCCAGCTTTGCTCGAAATTGGAGCCCTCAGAATTGCTCTCCATTATAGAACATTTTGGTGAGAAGTGTCTACAGTCTTATGAAATGGAGCGATGTGAGGCTTCACACTGCATTTGCATCCGCATGATGACCAGCTTTATCGGTTCCTGGACAAACGGGCCTGATGATACATTGAAAGAGTCGGCTATGGACTTGTATATTTGGTTCATGGAAGCGCTCCTGGCTCGGAAAAGGGCTACCCCAAAAGTCTACATTGCCTTAGCCGAGCTTATTCGGGGGGTGATTGGCACATGTCCCTCGTACGGCAAAGAGCAGTCTCTTCCGTCGCCACGAACAAATTTGTTTGCAATCCTTCGAGGAGGTGACGTTCAGGTCAAATTCAGCGTTGCGAAGTTTATCCCTGCTTTATTTGAGCGGTTCCTTCTTAAAGACCATGATGCCATCTTCGATGATGTATTGGAAAGCTTGCCACGAGACCCGGAGTGGATTGAGGGAATTGCAGTCCGCCTTTTCGTACTTTCGCAGTTGGCTTGCAGGTGGCACACGTTGCTGCGAAGAAGCATCTATCATTTATTTGAAACCCCGGCTCAGGTGCCACTATCACTATGGTACGCCGAGAGATGCATGGTCTCTGTTTCTCAGACCCTTGGTCTGCAAGATGCCAAAGAACTTTTTCGGCTTTTCTCATCTCAAATACTCTACACGTGGACTGAGACACAGAGTATCATGTCCATGCCCTATAGTATATTTGGGTACGACAGTCTTCAAAGCATGCTGGTGGACGTCAAAGATGAAATCGTTGGGCAAATGATGATGCGTGCCAAGGAACAAGAGACAATTGAGCTTGCGAAATACCTCCAAATTCCACATCTCGAGCTCCTGACGACCTCTTTTCACAAGGCCGAGTCATACAGCATTGCAAGAGATATCAGTACTCCTCCGGAACAAGGTACTCAGCCTAAGGGTGTTGAGATCCGTCTGCGGAAACTTCTCGGGGCAGATCAGTTCATGACACAAATCGAGAGCCAGTTCCCTCTGATTATTGCTACGTTTTTCAGATCCCTCGACTTCTATGACCAGATCGGGCGAGCATTCTCAAAGCGTGAAAACTTCGGTTATGCACTCGAGATCCAGGCGCAAATAATCAACAAAAGCACCTCCCAAAATTCGCTGCCAGCAAATCAACAGCCCTCCTTTCGAGCACGCTATCTCCTACATGAGATTGACTTTCTTTGCAGAAGCACTGGGTTTGAATTGGAATCAATATGGACGCCATCACTGGTTTCTTTTGTCTGCCGTTCGCTGCTTGAATCCATACATCCCGCCCTTGGCTCACTTCATGCTTGTTCCGTGATCCGCAAAATTAGAATCCTAACCTATGTGGCTGGTCCTGTCATACTTCAAGACTATCCTCTAGAGATGACGCTGAGCTGTTTGCGGCCTTTCCTTGGCGACATTCATTGTTCCGAGGATGCTTTGGGGATATTCTGGTATCTACTTGAGGCAGGGAAACCATATCTCCAGGTGACGCCAGGATTCACCGCAGGTATTGCTGTATCAACACTGGTCACTCTCCGCAGGATATTTTCGTCGTTGTCTGAGAACACGACCCAGGAAAGCCAGCTCAGAACAGTGCAGTATAATGCAAAAAAATTCTACCAATGGCTAGTCGAGCTCCTTAGAAAGCTAAGTTCGTCTGATTGGGATGCAGAGACGAAGACATCATTTGATCGGCTTGTCTGGCTAGCTGAGAAGTTCTTAACATCTGAGGGCTCTTCGGGCGGACAGGCTGGGAAGGATTTGGTCTTTGAAGTTCTCAAAGACCGAGATTCCGCGACTTCCTTGTTGAGCAAGCCTGTGGCAGATCTTGTTCTGTCGCTCTTATGTCCAGAATTCGAGCAGACATCAGACACTGAGAATTGGGTCTCGGATGAAGATTTGGACCCTGCTTCCTATGTTGTATCTCTATGGCACACATTTCAAAACTTCAGTGGAGGACCTCTATATCGACTTTGGGCCGCTCGGGTTATCGGAAGATCCTTCGCTGCCACTGGGAAAATTGATCAACTGCTCCTGCGAGAACAAGATCTCTCACTATTTCAATCCCCCGAGACCCCTTTGTCGTCTGATATTTTCTGCCATTCTAAGGCCAAAATCCTTCGGTTTCTTTGCGATATGCTGCACGCGCAAAAGCATTTTGAAGCTGGCCTGGTTGAGCGTACGTTGCAGTTAATCGTCAGCAACATAGCGCATTATCCTGAATTCCAAGGTTGCAGTGAGGTGATTCCCGAATCTCTAATGAAGGCCCTCATCTGGAACCCATACACATGTCCCGCCGTTGTACTCTCCAATTCGGAGCAGGAGAGATGCGAAAATGCAGCAACCAGCACTTCCGGGCAGTCGGTTGCTGATTGGGCTCGCAGTGTTTCCCTGTTCTTATCGAATGCTGCTCTAGAAGACCCAGTTATTGGATCTCTCCGCAAAGTTCTCAATGTGAATTCTGGCTTAGCAGTGCAGCTGTTGCCATACGTTGTTCATGATGTTTTGCTTTCAGAAAGGGGTGGTAAAGGCGAGAGAGGAGATATCCGAGGAGAGATCTCTGCTGCCTTCCGGCAGGTGTTGTCTGTGGCTGACAAGGAAACATTACCTCACGCTCAGCTTGTGATCAACTGTATTCTCTACCTTCGAAATCAACCTGTGCCAGATGAGTCAACTATAGTCCAGCGCGATAAATGGCTCGAAATTGACTTCGGTGAGGCATCTTTGGCTGCACATCGCTGCGGTTTGCATAAAACTTCTCTGCTTTTCCTGGAAATTCAAACTTCCAGAGTGGTCATGACATCTCGTCGGTCATCTGTCGTTAAATACGATCCACCGCCTGCTTTACTGCATGATGTTTTCAAAAACATTGATGACCCGGACTTGTTCTATGGTATTCAGCAGAGCTCATCTTTGGCCAGCGTCATGGAACGGCTAGATTACGAAAGCTCTGGATTCAAAAATCTCCTATTCCAGAGTGCAAAATACGACAGTGAAATCCAGATGTCTGACAAGGCAGGATCAAATGGAGTTTTGAAGGCTTTGAATGCTACAAACCTTCGGGGCATTGCCAATACGATGCTCTCTGCATCCAGCAGTGCAAATGATGCCCCTGTCGCCTTTGCGAGCATGTTGCAAGCTGCAACTAGTCTTCAAAAATGGGATATTCCAGTATCGCCTTTGGATTCCTCCCCATCTGCCACTGTATTCCGTACATTCCAAGGTCTCAATACCTCAGGCTCTCTGCTCGAGGTCACTGGCTCAATTGAAAGTGGTCTATTGACCACGCTGAGTTCTCTTCTACAGACCAGTGGGTCAGCTATTAAGATGCGAGAATCAATGCGCGCGTTGGGGATTATGACCGAGATCAGCGACACTTTGCACTTCGCGAGCTTTGATGATGTAGAGAAAGGATGGCAGAGTATAATGGCGAGAAGCAGCTGGTTGAAAACTGAGAGGTACATTTTCCCTTACCCAAATTGTCTACAGGATACTAAATATAGAGAGCAGCTATCATGAAGTCGGAGAAATCTTGTCTTGCCATGAGGCGTTATTTTCATCACTCAGGAAAAATGACGTCCTCAAATCACGGGCAAAACTGAATCTCGAGGATTCACGACTTCTAGAAGCGAAAGTCATTCGACAATCCTTAGAAATCACTAGAATTCATGGTATCTCCCAGGTGTCACTCAAATCTGCAATGAGCCTTTCGAAGCTCGCCGAGCCATGCGCAGCGTTGGGGATGAACATTGACGCCGCTGCAAAATTCGATCTTGCCAATGTTCTGTGGGATCAAGGAGAGATGACCGCGTCTATTCGCATGCTACAGCAACTGAAGGACCAGAATGACCTTCATAAGCAGGCAATCCCCCTCAGTCGGGCTGAACTTCTTGTTACTTTGGTTAGTTGGATGTCCTCTCAAAAAACCTCTGAAAGAAATTTCCCTAGAAAGCTATTCTATCTGAAGTGCTAATATAATCTCAAGGGCCACCATGTAGCCGAAGCGCGCTTGGAGAAGCCTGACTCGATTCTTCAAGAGTACCTATATCCTGCGGTCAAGGAATTGAGAGGAAGCTCCGACGGAGAAGAGGCTGGGCGGGTCTATCACGGGTTTGCAACCTTCTGTGATCAGCAACTACTGAACCCCGATGTACTCGAAGATTTCAAGCGAGTGGAACAACTGCGCGATCGCAAGGAGAAAGAAGTCCTGGGCCTGGAAGAGATGATGAAGAACAGCACAGGCAAGGAAAGAGAATACTTGAAGAACTATCGGGCTAAAGCAAAGCAATGGTTCGACCTCGATGACCGCGAATATCAACGTTTGTTGCGAAGTCGGGAGGCTTTCCTACAGCAATGCCTCGAAAATTACCTTCTCAGTCTGAGGGAAAGTGATACTTACAACAATGATGCTCTACGTTTCTGTGCACTTTGGCTTGATAAAGCAGACAGTGATACTGCTAATTCAGCTGTCTCTCGGTATCTCAACGCGGTACCTAGCCGGAAATTTGCACCATTAATGAACCAGCTATCATCTCGCCTGCTCGATGTCTCCGATGACTTCCAAAAATTACTCACTCAATTGGTATTCAGAATCTGCGTTGAGCATCCGTTCCATGGAATGTATCAAATTTTTGCCAGCAGCAAGTCTAAGGGAGGGAAAGATCAATCGTCTCACTCGCGTTTCCGTGCTGCAAATCAGCTTGTGGATCGTCTAAAGAACGATAGTCACATCGGTCAGACTTGGATTGCTGTGCACAATGTAAACATCAGCTATGTGCGTTTTGCAGTCGATAAACCAGACAGCAAATACAAAAGTGGTGCTAAAGTTCCACTGAAGAACTTGACTACTGGCCAGCGACTCGGACAAGATGCCACGACGTACCAACTACCACCACCGACAATGAAAATCGCACTCCGTGCAGATTGCGACTACAGTCGCGTTCCTACAGTCACGAAATTCCACCCTGAGTTCACGATTGCTTCCGGCGTTAGCGCCCCAAAAATTGTGACTGCCGTTGCATCCAACGGCGAGCGCTACAAGCAGTTGGTATGATCTTTATCTGAAGTACTGTCAACTTTCCTGGCTAAAAACTAACAAAATAACAGTACAAGGGAGGAAATGATGACCTGCGACAAGATGCCATCATGGAGCAAGTATTTGAGCAAGTCAGCAGTCTTCTGAAAGATCACCAACCCACACGCCAGCGGAGCCTAGGCATCCGAACATACAAGGTCCTCCCATTGACACCAAGCGCAGGAATCATTGAGTTCGTTCCGAACACCATTCCTCTGCACGACTACCTGATGCCCGCACACCAGAAATACTTTCCGAAGGACATGAAACCCAACTCTTGCCGGAAACACATTGCCGATGTTCAAACCAAATCGTTTGAGCAACGCGTCAGAACCTACCGACAGGTGACCGAGCATTTCCACCCAGTCATGAGATATTTCTTCATGGAGAAATTCAACAACCCAGACGACTGGTTTAGCAAGCGGTTAGCCTACACACGAAGTACCGCTGCGATCTCTATCCTCGGTCATGTCCTCGGACTAGGCGATCGACATGGACATAACATTCTTCTGGATGAGAAGACCGGGGAAGTGGTGCACATTGATCTCGGTGTGGCCTTTGAACAAGGCCGTGTGCTACCTGTTCCTGAGGTAGTGCCGTTCCGGTTGACGCGCGACCTAGTCGATGGATTCGGCATTACCAAGACCGAAGGAGTTTTCCGGCGCTGTTGCGAATTTACCCTTGAAGCCCTTCGCCAAGAATCTTACAGCATAATGACGATCCTTGATGTGTTACGTTACGACCCACTGTACAGCTGGACTGTCTCTCCGCTTCGGGTTAAGAAAATGCAGATGCAGGACAACCAAGCCAGTGATGGACCACCAGCTCTGCCTGGTGCAGCTGACGCTCTCGTCTCGAAGAGCGCGAATGAGAATGAACCTAGTGAAGCCGATCGTGCATTGACTGTCGTGGCAAAAAAACTGAGCAAAACGCTCAGTGTCACTGCTACAGTCAATGAATTGGTTCAGCAGGCGCGTGATGAAAAGAATCTTGCCATGTTGTACTGCGGTATGTTTCTTTTTCCACGTTTATCCAACGACTGCTTTACTAACTTTTCAATAGGCTGGGCGTCTTATGCGTGAGCTTTGAGGCATTTTGTGCGAGGAGTTTTGTTGCGATAACCTCTATATCTTCCGGGGCTTTGGTCGTGTGTATATAAGGGAATCAGGGTTAGCCTCGTAAGTCATCCGACTTTGAAATGAACATCTCCAAGCGCATCTCAAGCGATTTAAAACAGACATCTACACAGACACATTACTTTTCTTGTCTTCCACGGATGCCAATGTGAGCAGACGCAGGGAGTAAATTGGTCTATCTACCGCCTTACCGGACTTGAATCCAATGCCACTGTTCAATTCCACCTGGAACCGAGGTCACCCAATTCAAGATCGGAATCAAGCTCCAGAATAGTTGAAAAAGAACTCGGTTCTAATTTGCTGGAAGAGGCGGAGAGAGCCAATTTTACATGTCTTGAGAAACCAATTCATTACATTTAGAACACCCTCAAGTGGAAAAAGTGAGGCTTTTCTCACTGTTCTGCAAAGACTGCAATGCAACATGCAATTCTACATCTCTATATTAAATTCTGGATTTAAAGAAAGCTTTGTATTAATGCATGGGAATCATGAAGTATCTCTAACACAATCAAAATATGACCCGATCATCCTTATCGACGGCTTCAAAGAGATCCGGTCCTTTTCGAAAGTGGATTCCTTGAAAATATTTCTTCCTTTGATCCTGCACCACAGCACCATCGAAGCAAGCTGCCCCCCTGACAGTAGTGAAATTGATGTTCAGAAAAAAGAGCATCATCACCTCCACTCATCGCCTCATGCTCCACATCTTTATGCGCACAGAAAGCACAGCATACTGTTCGATGAAGGTGCGGCTAACGTCTGCCCAGCATGTCCCGGTGATGAAGGTGTATTTGCCCCACTTGGCACCTTTCAGTAAAGCGACGAGACTCTTTGCTACACTCCAGGCACTTGGGACATTAAACAGCTCGCGTCCAGTAATTGGGATGACCATTGTTGGTGGCATCGATTGGAAACGCAGGCCCGATGTCCTTGAGATGTTGATTTTTGCTCGGGACGACTTCTTCAATCAACCAGCCCACCGAATTCAATGAACGCGGGCCAGGCATTCCGCGCCAACTCTGCTTGCTCATGAAGCATTTGCCATACTGGCTCGCGTGTGCAGAAGTAAAAAATCAGGATTGTGGAGGTGTGTTTCACGGTAGCCACCAAACATCAAACTCAGATGGAATGAATCACTTGCAAACGCGGCTTTGCTTGCACGCCTCCGTCATGGCAAGGTGCACATCCACAACCCCCTTGAATAGTCGAGGATGGTGGATAAAATGGCTTTGCAGTCCGAAGTCGCGTTGACTATTCACTCCACTAAATAACCAATTACCGTCTATTTCAACTCTGGCCGACCTTCAAATCTAATCTTTCCACATCAGTGTTATAAGGCAAAGTGCCAAGGAATGCCAAGAGCGGTCATGTGCCTACCCGGGCTAGGGATGCAGCCGATACGCTCAGCTGGTGTGAAGCAGGCAGATTGAATATGTGCGACATTAAGGGTTAGATCTTGTTAAATGAGGGACCGATGAAAGTCCCTATAACCGACTTCTTGAGTTTCAGGTCAGGAAATTGCACTCCATATTTACTTCTTATGTTCCATCAGGGCGGGTTAAACTCGCGATTTAAATGATCTCGGCCATCTAAGCTTGCAAGGTTTACCAGCTGTAAAGCTCTTCTTGACGGCGCGATCAATTCCAGGTTCGTGTAGATCCTCAGAACTGGAATGTAGCCTGCGGATCGTCGCCTTTCCAGTGTGTATTAACAGTGGTCAATGCAATGCCAGATTCAATCGCCTTGCAGATGCCCTGGGCTATTACATCTTCACCAGCCACCACAGTCCCCTCTTTCTATCACCGTTAGTTAGTCCTTTTCAAAGGAAAAAAAATCTCGTCGGTATTGAATACCGTCAAGGACAATCCACCATTCTCTGTAACGGTTGTACAGCGTAATTACAAGAGCAATCTAGATCCACAGATGGGCCTATATGGCTACAATTCAATGTCAGCCTCGGCAAAAAGTTATTTTAGATGCGCGTCCAAGAGTCCCTGGCTTTTCTTCGTCGATTGAAAATAGACCCAATAACTGGCTGATGGGTTTCTGGGGCTTTGACAGCTTTCACATCTAAATTACCCCGTGTCATATACTTCTAACCTCCTTTTTGACCATTGTTGACTACCTAAACAACGGTGAAGGTTCATTCTTCACAGGTAGTCTTCCTCGCAAAAATCATCGAAAATCCAACTTTCTTGGATTCTTGTTTTCTCCTCTTCAGTTTCAGCCGCATCGAGAGCGTCCGTTTTCAGGCTTCTCTCTCTCTTTTTTGCCTCATCATAGTCTGATAGTGGTACCCAGCCCTCATACCCAACCCCAATCGCTTCCTGACACGCCTGAAATTGATCATCTGCTTCAGACTGTGCGTGTTCCAGTCGTAGACATTCCGTCAACCCATCATCAGAAAAATAATTTGGACAAGATGATCTCGCATCACGAGTTAATTCTATCCACTTCTTAGACAAAGTAATCAAATCGGCTTTTAAAGTCACATTGTCACCCTCCCAATGATCACGTGCATAGTAAAAAAGCCGCCTCAAGGTACTAAAAGAACAACTCTTTTTACCCAGATTGAATTTTTGTTCTATCTCGCTAGACTTCGGCAGAACTCATTTTAGGTCGGAACCTCTAACCTAAAACCTAATAGGTTAACCCTGATAACCTATTTAAACCGATTTTAATATTAAATGTACGTCTTAGCGTTTATAAAAAATACCAAGTCATTTAAATAAATAACTACTTTTTTGAAACTATTCAAGTTTGTGTATTGAATATGACTATATTATTATAACATTAATGTCAGGGTGCAGGCTGGCAGGACGGTATGATAGGAGATGACTGGTAGGAACCGGTCGTAACAGATCAGATTCCCATTGACAGGTACAGGCAGGGGCAGGCTATTATACAAGACGTAGCTCGAAGAGCTACAACAGGATCTAGAACTGAAGTTCAGATAAACAGGTCGGAGATCACGTGCCGTGATCTTCCTCTAACTAAGCATTACGGTTCGCACCGTGACAATTAAGTTAGAAATTTATATAAATACTCCGAATTTAAAGCTATAGGCTTTATATTATGTTAATTATTACCAGCTAGTTCTTCAATCAAAAGAGTGCATTTCAACGAGAATACTAAGTGCAGAGAAAGAAGAAGAAAGAAAGAAAGAAACCTACAAGACAGGATCCTTTATGGGGTCCTATTACAATCAAAACAATACAAACATAAGTTGAGGGAAATCCCTCCGAATCGTTTTAGGCAGGCGGTAGGAAATGGCAGAACCCTTCCTAAGCTCTGGATCGTCACATAAAGGGGGTTTTAGGGTAAAATTCCGGCTTGATTCACTCCCCCGGCTAGCTAGGGGGGTTAGGGTTCGAAGCCGAATATTAAGCTTTGAAATCACTCAGTCGGGTGTAAACAGTACCAAAATAGCTACTCCGAAGCTATTTTAATTAGTCTCCGATTTGAAAGCTTCAATTCGTGCAAGAGGGTATACTTTAAGGAAGTTAAGTTTATTAATATAGTTAATCCCGTTACGTATCTTAGTTTCAACTATCCGACCATACGTACGTTTTAACACCGTAAAATAACTAATATCTAAAGGTTATAAAAGATAAGATAAATACGCTAGTGTATAGCTTAGTTGTCACGGTGCGAACCGTGATGCTTAGTTAGAAAAAGATCACGGCACGTGATCTCCGACCTGTTTA